AATAAAATATAAATAAATAAAGCTGCCATCAGAACTAGATAGCAATTTATCTTTCTTATAGAACACCTAAATATATATATATTTTAAGTTTATTCATTTTTGAGAGAAGGGGAGGGGAAGGGGAAGAGAGAGAGGGACAGAGAGAATCCCAAGCTGCCAGCACAGAGCCCAAGGCAGGGCTCGATCTCACGAACTGTGAGATCATGCCCTGAGCCGAAATCAAGAGTCAGATGCTCACCAGTGGAGCCACCTAGGTGCCCCATAGAACAGTTAAATATTTTTAAGCATAGGTAATTCTATCAGGGCTCTTCACTTGTTTTTATTTTTATTTATTTTATTTTTTTGAGAGACAGCAAGTGAGTGAGGGACAGAGAGAGACAGAGAGAGAGGGAGGGAAGGAGAGAGGGGGAGAGAAAGAGAGAGATTGAGAAGCAAGCCTCACCAAAGCGGAGCCTGAGCTCACCTGATGTGGGACTCAAACTCAGGAACTGTGAGATGGTGACCTGAGCCAAAGCCAGGTGCTTAATGATTGAGTCACCCAGGCGCCCACTTCACTTGTTTTTAAAGCTAAAATCAGTCAATCAACTGCTCCAAATTTCTTTCAAATGGTATGCTTTGGAATGAAGAAAAGGCTATTTTCTTTCATATTAAAACACTTCCAGAGGTGCCTGACTGGCCTAGTTGGTATAGCAGGCAACTCTTGATCTTGGGGTCATGAGTTCAAGTCCCATATTGGGCCTAGAGCCCACTTAAAAATGAATGAATAAATGAATGAATGTTGGGAGAAAAAAAGCTTTTGTTATGATACATGAGTCAAACATAGTCCTTCACATGTAAGAAAAAAAGAGCTTTAATAATACCAAATGTGAAAGTACATTTTAGATGAGAAAGTGGGGGTGGGGGGCGCCTGGGTGGCTCAGTCAGTTGAGCATCCAACTTTGGCTCGTCTCATGGCTTGTGAGTTCGAGCCCCGTGTCGGGCTCTGTGCTGACAGCTCAGAGCCTAGAGCCTGGAGCCTGTTTCAGATTCTGTGTCTCCCTCTCTCTCTGCCCCTCCTCCACTCACACTGTGTGTGTGTATCTCTTTCTCTCTGGCAAAAATAAATAAACGTTAAAAAAAAAATCAAAAAGAAAAAAAAAAGGGAACTCACAAGGGTTTCTCCTGGGTCTCATAATTTAAAAACTAAACAAAACAGAAAAAGAGAGATTGAAAACCACATTCCACATAGGAAATTTCATTAGGATCTCAAAGTAATGAAATTAATTGTTAAGAAACACCCCCTCTATGCAACACTGTGTGTGTGGATGTGCGAGTGGAAGTAGGAGTTGGAGTCGGTCGGGTTCAAGTAGAGTATCGTCATTGGATTGCACCACTGCTGCCTTGGAGAACTTTCCGCGACTTCACCTAGATGACAAGGGCAGATTGTTTCTTCACAAAGCCTTCTCTTAGAGGATCAAAGGTATTTCCTTTTCTCTGTGGATGTACCTGCAGCACCCACTCTCACAGCACACTGAAGTAGATTACACAGAAAATGACAATGCACGGTTCTGGCTGGGAGGGACTTTTCGAGGTACAAACATAAGCTTCATTTCAGATACACATTACCTTATGTTCTTCATATTAACCTGACTTTAAGCTCTCTTCCAGACCCTCCCAACTCCTTCCAATCACTCTAATCTAAGCAATCTCCTTGGTGGTCAATCCAGATTCTCTGAGTTAAATCTCACTTTTCCCATAATGCAAGGTTGAACTTCCCTGGAGCAAGTGGAAAGATCATTTCCTCTTTGACTTTGGGGTTCGAGCACCACCTGCCTAAAGATATTTCATGGCTTCCCATCTGTCAGGATCTCTGTGCTCTCTCTATAGCTTTCCCACTGCTGACAGCCATGATCACCTCAGAACCTCATGATCTTTTTTTTTTTTTAAGGTTTACTTATTTTGAGAGAGAGAGAGAGCACGAGCAGAAGGGCAGAGAGAGAGAGACAGAGAGAATCCCAAGCAGGCTCTGCACTGCCAGCACGGAGCCCGAGCTCACCTACCAGGAGATCATGGCCTGAGCCAAAACCAAGAGTTGGATGCCTAACTGACTGAGCCACACAGGCACCCTAGAACTTCATGACCTTTTTCTCACTCAGAACCTCATGATCTTTTTCTCACCTCAGAACCTCATGATCTGTTTCTCACCTCAGAATCTCATGATCTTTTTTTCTTAAAACCATTTAACTGCTTCACAATCTCTCTTCAAGATCACTATTTGGAGACCACCATCTATGTGCCGTGATCACAACTCCCTAACCCTTGTCCTCCCCTCACACCAAAGACACATATATTTTTTCCCAGAGAAAATGTCCACTGACCATTTTCAGACAATATGAAAAGAGAATAACAACTGAACCACAATCAAATTACAGTTTTTCCATTTGTTCAACCAGAGTAAGAACACTGCCAAATCTATACGACCCAACATGTACCACCAAGATTTTGCTTGAGGATTCCTGTCTTCAATGTAGTCTAAAATTTAGGAGAATCCTATCAGAGGAGCAATCAGGGAAAATAATATAATGTTGCAAAGTGCCCAGAGTTCAAGGCTAGCATTTTCCAAACTTATGTAGTCTATATCATAACTGTGAGATTATTGGCACAACAGTTGGGAATCTATTGTTTTCCATTTATTCAACTGCACAGTCATCTATCATTCACTGTCCCTAAGTCAAAGGGAATATGAATAATATTTAGAGATCTACGTGTATATATAAAGTTGACCTCAGAAAGACATGAGGGTTAGAGGCATCAACCCTCCATGTGGTCGAAATTCCACGTAGAGTAAATAGTAAATTTGGAAACCTTGTCATTCTAGGCAATAACATGAAAGGGCTTACCTAATATCATGGTTAAAAAATCCTTAAGCAGTTATTAAAAGCAAGTAGGATTTTCGGGTATAGCCCTAATTCTTTGAAATTAATGTCACTGAGAACAAACACGGTTTCTTAAAATATATCCCTGGGAAGAGTATTATGGACTGAATACTAAGCTGAGTCTTCACAATCTTTTAAGTAAATTCCTATGCCTCTCAAATCCTTATTTTAGGCTTTCTGAGTATATTGGATAAAGTACATTTTTGTTTCCTTTGAGGAAGAATTTGGGTTGTTTTAGGGTAGTCTGATCTGTCCTCATTCATTCATTCATTCAACATTTACAGAATGCCTACTATATATAGGAACTTAAAAGGAGGACACTGAGTATCTAAGTAGGGAAAGAGGACCAGAATCAATGAAATATTTACGAGCACCAGGCACTTTAAATATGCCTCACCCAGGGGCGCCTGGGTGGCGCAGTCGGTTAAGCGTCCGACTTCAGTCAGGTCACGATCTCACGGTCCGTGAGTTCGAGCCCCGCGTCAGGCTCTGGGCTGATGGCTCGGAGCCTGGAGCCTGTTTCCGATTCTGTGTCTCCCTCTCTCTCTGCCCCTCCCCCGTTCATGCTCTGTCTCTGTCTGTCCCATAAATAAATAAAAACGTTGAAAGAAAAAAAAAAATTTAAATATGCCTCACCCAATCTCTATCACTATTGACTACCTATCATTCCATCAGTTTCCAACTGACAACCCTTCTAATGGCAACCTTGCTACTAAACCCAAAGCTCTCTGTGGGAAGGAACTGTGCATCATTTGCAGTTATGTTCACCAGGTTCATCACAGTGCTTGTCACATACCAAGTGACTATTAAAATCTGTTAATGTGGGTCACAGGAAGACAGACAATCAGATGTAGTCTCAACGCTAAACCTTGTGTCGCCACCCACCTCTTCTTCTTGGCACAGGGCACAAAGCAAAAACAATTTCTAGGATAGGAATACCCAAAGTTGATCACAGTGGACACAAAGACAACAAATTTGATCAAGGACTCAGTACCAGTGGGTAATTCTGGAAGAGAGAAAAAGGCTAAAAGCTCTCTGTAGGACACTTCTGATTCATTCTCTATGAACCACAGAGACTGTTTACAGTCATAATCTCTCCCCAGGGGAACAGTCCCTCCCCTCTGAATGCTTATCTCACTGTTACTGACAGAACTGATTGGTAATCACCAAGCCTACAGGAAAATATGAAGAAATTCCTCCTTACTAAAATACTTAAAGCTCTGGTTTCTCAAAATAAGAATTTAAAAGGCTCTGAAAATCAAGCTCAAAACAAATTCAAAGTGCTGAAAAATTAGTGGATTATTTGCATTATAAAGGAATTTTCTACTCCAGCTTCCCTCCCAGAACAGCTCTAATGATCTTAAATTTCTTCAACTTCTTTATTTTCTAATTTTTAAAAATTAGCATTTATTTATTTTTGAGATAGAGAGCGTGTGTGCGAGCAGGGGAGGGGCAGAGAGAGGGAGATACAGAATCTGAAGCAGGCGCCAGGCTCTGAGCTGTCAGGGCAGAGGCTGACGAAGGGCTCGAACCCACAAACCGGGAGACCATGACCTGAGCCCAAGTCCGATGATTAACTGACTGAGCCACCCAGGTGCCCCTTACATTTCTTCACTTTAAATTATATTAATTACCTTTAATTTCATCCTCCAATATCGAATCTGACAGAAAATCTTTTTGGTTCTTGAAGTGCCTCCAAGATTAGCCCTCTTATTCTATTTTCACTTCCACTAACAAGTTCTGGCTACCTCATACCTTTTAAACGTGGACTCCTTGCTGATAATCTCATTTGATTCTAAGCTACCTTGTAGGGTGCTGTTTACCGGGGCATGAAGCTATAGGACAGCATATCAGCATCATCTGTGGATTCCCCTCAAACCCTACATCTGCCTCCCAGTATTTCTCCCTCATCTGTAGTCCAGTCCGGTACACCGACATACCCAACTTGTTAGGGAGATCACTCACTACCACCGGAGGCCTAGCTTGGGAAAAGAATCAGAAGGTAGAACATGAATCTTCCTAGTCTCTTTATTTTCCCCACTCTCAACACATAACCTCTGCCACCACTGGGCAGACATCACTGACTCTGACACAAGCTATACTTGAAATAACCACACGAACAGGTACTCTCTTTAGACAGTATGACCAAAAACATCAAGTCTCACATCTTAGTACAAGAGTGCTTCTCAGAAGAGTACATACACAGTGCTAAAAAGTCTTCACGGTTTTCTTTGAACCAACCTTATGCCTTCCACGAAAGACATTTGCAGTAGCTCCTTGGCCTAAAATATCAGACAAAAGCCACAGATGATTAGAGGTGCTCTGCATCTCGGCTTGGTCAGGAGATCTTCTTATTAAACTAAGAGAAAAAAAAAATTTGCATGTTTGTTTTAAGGGAATAATACATTTGAGGAAAACAAATGTTAGATCCTTTTAGTCTCAAGTAAGATCACCCCTTAGTTATTGCTAACTTGAAGTGCACAGTCTAATGTAACAATCTGTTTCCAACAACACTAAAGGCTAAAATGCTGGGTGGGCTCTGAAAAAAACATTAACTGATGACATATATTCACTTTAATTCATTTATCACAGGGCTACAGAAACATCTATTTCCCTTCTAATTTTACCTCTGTCAGAGTGATACTGGCCACTTCTCTCCTTCAAATGTTTTGAAAGATTGATCAATGATGAATTATAAAGTGTTTTAAAATAAAGCAACAATGTACAATATAACAGACAGTAAAAGAATTACTTTGTTTCCTTAAGGGCACCGTTACACAATGAAAACAACTGTTGCCATGGCATAACATTTCCATAGCTTAAAATTTCATCTGCATAGCACCTGACAATCATAATGGAAAGGTGCAAGGTTTTTTATACCTGAAAAGTTACTAACTCTTCTGAAATTAAAGGACAGTTTCTCCAATCTCCAAGTATAAAAACAGACACATATTAAGTGTATATTACCGAGTCTTAAAAAATGAGCCAGTGGAAGCTATCTATGCATGCAAGTGCAGGCTATTATATATTAAGTAAAATCTCTGTACCTTCTGCTTAATTTTGCCATAAACCTAAAACTGCTCTAAAAAGTTGACTTAAGAAAAAAGCATCACCCCTAGCCTTGTCCTTTAATACTGGAAAGCTATATAAGGATATTAAAATATTTGAGCTCCCCGTTGGAATAAAAATCAGGTATGCTAAGTAACATAAACCCTAGTCTCATCATGCCACCTTAAATCTGCTGTAATATCAGATCAAAACAGATCTTAATACCCCTCTGAACTCCTTTAGAATTCGGTGATGAACTAATGACTGCCAATATTCCAAGGATTAGGAACATAAAGAATGGCCAATTTTCAACAATCTTTGATATACTAAGATATATAATTTTACCACCCATCTAATTCAGATAAGGAATGTTATATACAGCACTTCATTGCAAATAAGCAATAAAAATAAGATTCGTTTTTTACAAGTAAGGGATACACCTTTGTCAGCTGAGGTAATAACAATAAACTCCTCAACTATCTTTTCAATATTTACAAATACTTGTCAATAATGAAAACCCTTCCCAAATTGCTGTAACTGTGCTGAGATAACTGTAATGGAAAACAGTGTCGTTAGGTACCTATATGTACCTAGTGAATAAATATAAACACATTGATCAGCTCAGATATCTGCTTCTCTACACGAAGATAGCAGACTAGTTTCACAATCATCAGGGGGAAATGAGTTTGGTGACTACTTTCCAATAAACCCACAATAACAGCATGCTAAAACATGACTCAGCACATCCACAAGGTGTATGCTTTATAAATCTTGATACACGACAGGCAAGCACTCAACAAGTATGTTACTAGTGACTCTGCCTTAAGCCTACTTCCTTACACCGTGCAAAAACGAAAGTTATTATTCGTCCATAGATGAGAACAGGTTTGGTGACAGGCATGCGGACAAAGTTCAAGGATTTTCCAACTCAACCACTATGTTAAATAATTCAGCGTTCTAGAGTGGAAAACAAAAAACAAAAAACCAACAACACTCGGTTTTTGGTTATGTACTGGACAGTTAACGGGTAGACCTTGTTTTGAGGCCACCTACTGAAAAACACCTGGGAAACGGACTGGGAAACAATCCCGTAAGGCATTTCCCAAAGGGAATGTTTGGGAATTTACATTATAGGTGTATATATTAATAAACGTCTGCTTCCAGCTTCCGGTTAGTCAATCCCCGCCGTCATCATCACTAAAACCCAAACGAAACGTCTCTTTTTAATCATCTAAAAAATCAATCCATTCAAACAGTGACGATCGTGTCAACGCTCATAAAGAGGGGTAGAAGCGGTCCAACTCCAAGGAAAAGAGGAATCCGTCTCTGCAGCGCGGCCAGGGCCCAGACCCGGTAACGGGCACGGCCTCTTTCTTCCTGCCCAACGTCGCTACACGCTGACCCGGGAGGGCCCCGGTCAGAGGGCCGGCCAGGGGGCGAGGAGTAGAGATGGAAGGGACCGGGCCCGCGCGACCACTCCACCGGGTTTCGGACGCCCCCGACACCCGGGGGCGGGGGGGCGTCCACCTAGTCGAGGTCCGGGGAGGGCCGGCCTCGGGTCGTGCAGGGCTTGTCGGGTCGCCCGCCCCGCCCCCGCTCTGACTCAGCATCCCCGCTGCCCACAGGGGGCGGAAGCGCTCGGCGCGAGCCCGTGCCCACCTCGCTACCCGTGCCCCGCGCGGCTCGGCCCCTCCGCCCGCGCCGCCCCACTTACCGCGCCCGGTCTCCGTCGCGCCACCGCCAGCGGGCTCCCGCGGCCTCCTTGCGCCTCGGGACACTTCCGGCTTCGCGAGCCCTGGCCGCGGGCCACGTGACCGACGGCCGGCGCGCGCCGGTGCGCGTGCGCACGCCCGCCGGACCGGCCCCGGCCTCGGCGGCGTGACGCTGGTGCTGTGCTGTGTGTCTGGTGCGGCGGCTGGCTTCCCGAGCCTTTCTAGCGAGGGGTGGGGAGGCCGGTGGCTGTCTGGAGTCCGAGCCGGTCCACACCCTCTGCCTGTCCCCCCTTGCTTTCCGGGTGAAGCCGGGGTGGGGGGGGCCCTGCGCAGTGAGCAGTTTCAGATTCCCACAACTGCAAATCCCGCCCAGTTCTCGAGAGCCAACGGCAGAGTGCGGCGTGCGGTGGTAGTAGGGAACACAAACAGCGAACTCCTGATCGCAAACAAAGAGTCACAGGTGTGCAGACTGCTGGACACGAGAGAGGCTGTCACTGGGGAATATCATCGTCTGGAGGGATCGATCTGGAGCCGCTTTAAAGACCGTAGGCCGCCGTGGAGCCCCGTGATCGCCTCAGAATAATCCGGACGTAATTCTTAGTGTAAATGAGCTCACTTCTTATATATTTGGCGTTGTGGGGTGAGGGAGTCCGCAATGTCTTCATTCTCTCTTTAAGCGGTATTTTGGAAAATGGCGATATATTTTGGAAATTGGCAGTATTGGAGAACTCGGTTAAAATCGGGTCCTGAATATTCGTGCCTCCAAGATCTGAAGCAGCTGTTCCCTAAAGAGTGATCCCCTCTGCCAGCTGACTGCATCGCAGCCTTTCTCAACAGATGGAGAGGCCACAGAGACTCCTGATGATCCAGGGCTAAACTTCTGAGAGAGGGGGAGAAAAAGGATTCTTCCCGGATGAGAACTACGGCAACCGGGAATGAAATAGGAAACCAAGGCAGAGTGGTTAAGAGCAGGGTCTTTTGAATGGAACAGATCTGGGGTCGCAGTCTCAACGCTCCCCACCAAATACTGACTCTAAGCATGTTTTTCCAAGTCAGTTGTGTCCTTTGCACAATGGAGATAATAAAAGCCCACAGTAATGCGTTATTACAAAGGAAATTACTTTATTAGACTTTTAAACAATGCTTAAGTCATGGAACCATTCCAACAAATGTTTATTGCTTACAATTGCAACCAATTTCAGTTCTCTTGTATCTAATGACAAGAAGGGGACCTGTTCAGGTTCCTTACAACAGTAAAACCCACAGCTCAAAAGTTTTATGGGAGAAAATGTGATTAGCTGAGCCAAAGGCCTTGATTCACATATTCACCACATAAGTGATGCATATTGATATACAATAGTATTAAGTGAGCCAACTTATGGTTAACTAAATTTAAGACTTTAAATAAACTGTTAGGCACAGAACTAGACCAGGTGTCTTAAAATCCTTGTGGTTCTGTAGTCAAGTCACACAAATCTGTCTTTTGGCTCAATGACCCCATCTGTTAAGAGGTGAGATTCACTCTTGTGACAATTATTTGGGTGCTTGTTTTTGGAAACTACAAATAAGGTAATTCATGATGAAGCAGAGGTGCCTAATTGCTATGGTACTCCCTACATAAAGTGCTCTGGATAACTTCAGGGAAAAAATGGGAATTATTATACATGATTATAGAACATGAAGTTTAACTTCTGTTGCAGACTCTTAATTTCCATGTCTTGATTTTGCTTGGCTCTGAACACACGTGAATCTTTTGAAGGGCTTTAAAGAGACAGGGGAAAAAGAGGTGTCACCTTCACATATACGGAACTAATAGTACAGTGGCCATAGCTAGCATGAAGCCTTCATGAGCAGGTACCGTAAGCTCATTTCACACTTTCACAGATGCAAAAACTGGGGTAGGGAGAAATTTAACTTGCTTAAACTTCTAAAAACCAGTGACTGGCAGAACTGTTACCTGAACCTACTTACTCTGGATCTGGAACCTGTCTTAACTCTTAACCACTACACTATGTGACTTGTTAGTACTTTGAAAAATTAGTGCTGATAACAGATGCCAATGGTGTTTCCCACCATATAGGAAAACTTATCAATGAAACACTCAAGCTTTCACTTTTTAACTTTTATGTATTTTTTTTTTTTAAGTAATCTCTATGCCCAACATGGGGTTTGAACTCATGACCATGAGATCAAGAGTCATATGCTCTATATGATTGAGCCAGCCAGGTGCCCCTCACTTATCTACTTTTGAAGATATTTTTATTGAAATATACATTTCACTGATCTATTCTGACAACTGTTAATTTACTTTAGTACCTTTGTCCTATGATGAAGGAAAATGTTTAAAATCACTTATGGAATTAACCCTAGAAAAAGATTTACGTATACCATTCAGAATAGTTTAAGGGAGTTTATAGACCACACTGAAGCCCAACGTGAAACCCATAGGGGAACCACATGGGCCAAAGTTTGAAAAGAAAAACCAAACCAACAATCCCCTAAAATCTTCCTTAGGCTTTTAGAATTTAAACTTATATGACTGCAGCAATTAATTCTCCTGTTCAGTTTGTCCCTCCTTTCTTAGTTTTCCAATACTACTTACTGATACTTTTCCTCTTGCTTTCTTGCATAGCCATGAATAAAAACAGCAGTAAGTACTGTTAGTAACTAAATGAGCAGCTACTCGTAAGCCTCATTAACACATAGGTATAGTGTCCTAAGTAAATCCAATAAAGGAGGGGGAAATTGGATTTTAAATTCTATTGACAGATTGAAACATGCTTTTTCTAGCATCTTAAAAAAAAGTCTAACAGAGGCACCTGGGTGGCTCCATCGGTTAAGTAACCAACTCTTAATTTCAGCTCAGGGTTTGTGAGTTCAAGCCCCACAATGGACTCCCATGTTGACCATGAAGGGCCTGCTTGGGATTCTCTCTCTCCTTCTCTCTCTGCCCCTCCTAAACTCATTTTCCCTCTCTCAAAATAAGGAATATAAAAACAAACAAAAAAAGAGTCCAACAGAACTATGTTGCATATAATGTTTTGAGAGCATAATCATCCATAAGCCTAAATGTGCAATCTTTAAATGGGAAATCAGGGAGAGATAAGAAAATAAGACTATTTATAATAATTCCAAAAAAGACATGGTAGATTTCACTACGTAAAATTTATTTTTTTTATAAAAAGTGTGTAACACTGACACCTACTCTTAAATCAGTTAATTTATGAAACCATTCTCTTTTGTAGAACACACATTGGCATCGAAACAGTTTAAAGAAATGTAATGGCTATCTACAAAAAATTAGTTTTGATTTGTTGTATTCTCCCCATATTTGGAGTCTGCACACATAAAAGGAAATTAACATATTCAAACATATTTAGCAATTGAAAAAAAGTACACTGTTTTCCTGCTATGTGGTCTTTATAAAGGATTTAACATTTCCAGTAAAAAAAAAAAAGGGGGGGGTACTAAGATAACCGTGCTGTATCTTTTAACAGCATTTTTATATAGAACAATTTGAACTGGCATGCAAGCAACTTCTCTTGTTGTCACATACCTGTATTCAGAGAAAATTACACCCATTTTACAGGAAAAGTTCCAATACATATACTGCAATAAGCTTAAAGCAATGTTAAAAAGACCAGTGTGAATGGCACACAAAAACTGCTTCTTTATAAATTATTAACTGGAATTCTTGATCATAAAGTAGGCACAGGGAGATCCAGTCCTTAGGGCTTTGCTCTCTGGAAGAATACCTGGAAATAAAGTATCAGTACAATTAGCACTGGTGTCAGAAGGTATCACGTGAAGAATGGCTCCAAGTCAGTAAAGGCCAGTCACTCTTTTACGAAATACAGTCAATACTCAGAACATTTTACATGCTTCATAAATCCACACATGGTACAAGAACTTTTTTTCTGGACAATGTGACCAAATCTAGTGGTAACTTATATTGATGTTGGCCGGGAAATTAGTGAAACTATGGTATGAACTCTAAGGCTAGGAGAATCAAGTGTGCGGAAGAAAACATGCTCGGACACCATTTGCTGACTGGCACACTGTCAAAGGCAACGCTGGGAAATTAACTTCTTAGGAAGAAATAAACACATCAGAGCTAAAGATAATAGCTGTTATCCCTTAAGGAATTTATTATGCATTGGATTATAAAACAATACTTGCAATTCACCATTGGAGACAATGAATGAATAGGCTAGAGGCTGCTTTGGGGACCGGCCCAATAGTACATACTACCTTCCATATTCCACAGTCAGGTACATGCTAAGTGAGCACTAGACAGACTAAATAGGCAGCAAACTCACTAAGGATAAGGACTGTAGTCATCACTGCGTCCTTAGCACCTACCAGATTGGGCATTCATCGAACAAATCTATTGACTAAGTGAAGAGAAGGATTGGTATATGAGCAAAACAGAGCCTTACAAAGAGGCCATGCTTGAGGTAAGCCTAAAAAAATGGGTAGAATTCATAAATGAGGCAGAACTGTTGAAGAACAGCAAAGACCACTCCTGCAAGAGAAACTAGAAAGACAGTCTGAGATCAGAATATAAGAAAACAAAATAAAAAAACAAAAAGCCTGAATGTCAAACTAAGAAACACGAACGTGTTTTGTAGTCAACTATATGGTTTATGAAGAATGAGGGGAATGGATTTCAGAGGACTATTCAGTGTTTCTTTTTTTTTTTTTTTAATTTTTTTAATGTTTTATTTTTTTTGAGACAGAGAGAGACAGAGCATGAATGGGGGAGGGTCAGAGAGAGAGGGAGACACAGGATCTGAAACAGGCTCCAGGCTCAGAGCTGTCAGCACAGAGCCTGACGCGGGGCTCGAACTCACGGACGGTGAGATCATGCCCTGAGTCGAAGTCGGACACTTAACCGACTGAGCCACCCAGGTGCCCCCTATTCAGTGTTTCAAATAGGCTTGGCTACAAGGGAAGGGAGATCAGTGTGAGGTAACAAACACATACTGGAGTAGCAGCAGGGGAGACAAAGTGAGAGTGAGGAGGAGAGAATCTATAAGATATGAGGATCAATCACACCTAAAGAGAGTAGGCACACAAGAAGGAATTCACTTTTCCCAACAAGAACAGTGCTCTCCCAGAGATAATGCTTGCACTGAAGAGATGCTGGGCTTGGGAGCAGACTTTGTATAATTGCAGCTGCATGAATTAGTATTTTTGGAGCACAAGCCTGCCACTGTACCTGCATCTGCTTACAGATACCTTTAATAGCCAGTTACAATTTGTTTTAGTCCTTTTATCCAGTTTGATCAGTTATTTAACAGAGATTACCTCTACAGGCACTTTGCTTTTTATAGGGACATGGGAGTGGGGAGGGTTCCCAATGATAACCAGTAGCTCCCAATCATCTTCTTACAAAACTCTCGTCAGTTTAAGCTGACAGACCACTACTAGGGAAAAAACTGGCAAGGGAAGATGTTATAACCGGAGCCCAAGCATGACACACTTTACTTCCTCAGCAAAGGCCCTGACTTAGGAATTTTACTGAATGCCTCGGACAAAAAAAACCTGGTAGCCATTCATTAAGTCACTTGCTACTAACATATTTAGCATAGTGTTCTGCTCTCCAATTTTCTGAATGAAGGTAATAAAAATAAAGAACACATCTTCATCCTGTCACACTGGAATTTTATTTCCAGAGCACAAACTCTTTATAGTCAAGAGAAGTCACTCGTACAGATATCTGCAGCAGTTAGCACAGTACCTGTTACGTGAAAAGTCATGATGCAGTACTGAATGACTACCTGGGTGACAGCAAGACAGTTCTGCCTTACAAATTTAAATTGTCAATATGAATGCCAAATAAGCATTTGGTACTTGCCAACTTGGCGCGTTTTTTAAAAAATTCACTCATTTTATGAATGTGAAAAGAGCCTTGACTGCCAAATCAGAGAGTTTGTTCTCTGATTTGAACTCAGAAGTTTGAAACTCAGAAGTTTCAAAATAAGATACACCAAGTAATTCTAACTTCTGTTTTTATATTTTTAGTTCCTTTCTTTCATTTCAATAGGGTCACATGTTCCTTTTTTTTTTTTTTTTTATAATATATTTATTTTGAGAGAGAGAGAGACAGAGAGTGTGCATCCCAAGCAGGCTCCATGCTATCAGCGCAGAGCCCAATGCGGGATTCGAACTCATGAAATGTGAGATCGTGACCTGAACCGAAGTCAGGAGTTGGACACTCCTGGGCCACCCAGGCACCCTGGGGGCACATGTTCTTAAACATGACTTGTCCCAATCCTGTAGCTCCTATCTAATTACATCACACACTATAAAAAGGAAACTGGCATTTTCATAGTGCGTTCAAGCATATACACAGTGTGCTTACCTCACTTTTTATGATCTTTTCTAACAGCTTAGTTGAAAGGGACTTTATAGAAAACTCTGAAGTATTAACATCCAAAACCGCAAGTTCTTGGAAGTCGGTTTCAGAACAAAGAAATCCCCAAACAAGTAATAACTGGTAAGACTACAGTATGACACAGTATCCTGTAATATGCATTCTCTCAGCTCTAAAATATTACCTTATGATATGAATATGTGTAAGTTTTCCAAATACCTACCTTTAAGTAATTTTTAAAAACTTTAGCATCAGGCTGCTGAAGCGCTTGACAAAACTCCTGGGGGGCCCAGATGGGAGGGGAGAGAGAGAGAGAGAGAGAATGAATGTAGTTGTATTAAATTCACTGTAAATCAAATCCACAGTTTTCTTTTTTAAACTGTGATTTAAAAAATCCATATAACTGAGCATCTTAACCACCATAATGCTATACATTAGCATTAACTCTCTGCACACTGTTGTGCAGCAGACCTCTGGAACTTTTCATCTTGCAGAATTGAAATTCTATACTCACTGGACATCAACTCCCCCTTTCTTTCCTTACCAAGCCCCTGGCCACCACCATTCTACTTTCTGAGAGTTGGACTACTTTAGGTACTTCATGTAAGTGAAATTATGCAGTATTTATCTTTTTGTGACTGGCTTATTTCGTTTAGCAGAATGTTCTCAAGGCTCCCTCAAGGTTGTAGCATGTGACAGGATTTCCTTCCTTTACGACTGAATAGTATTCAATTGTATGTAAATACCACATTTTACTCATCTAGTCATCTGTCATAAGGTGCTTCAAATCTACAGTAGTCAGATAACTTAACAGGTCCTCAGCAAAAAAGGTTCTATGGCGTTTCAAATGTGATACTTTTCAGAGACTGCTTTCACTTTTGAGAACATGGTTCTCCCACAAGATTGACTCACGCCTGAGAAGGGAGAGTGGGACAAAAACTGCATTGCTGTGGCTGTTCTCACCCACTAAGAGCAGTAACTGAGCAGAGCTAGACCAAAAGAAAAAGAGTTAAGGCGCTCTAACAGAATTCTGAAAAAGTGTTGTCATGAGACATATGAAAAAAAAAGGAAAACTGGGGATGCTTATCTTCTATGATCAAATTATTAGACAGAAATATAGTTTTCCTTTACTTAACCTGGTATATTTCTATTTTTGATGTGCAAGAAGGTCACTGCTTTCATTAAAACATTACCTTATACTTATATAACAAGTTATAGCTAAGAAAATTCATTAATACCTCTAAAGTTAAAGATAGCATGTTATGAAATGAGACCATAAATTCATTAATGATTACTCTTATGTGAGATCTATCCTATTTTTCATTCAATTTTTTCAATGCCTTTCATAAAATAGCATGATAAAAACTTAAAAAAAATTTTTTTTAAACGTTTATTTATTTTTGAGACAGAGAGAGACAGAGCATGAATGGGGGAGGGTCAGAGAGAGAGGGAGACACAGATTCCGAAGCAGGCTCCAGGCTCTGAGCTGTCTGCACAGAGCCCGATGCGGGGCTCGAACTCACGGACCTCGAGATCGTGACCTGAGCCGAAGTCGGACACTCAACCAACTGAGCCACCCAAGCGCCCCTAAAACTTTTAAAAAACACTGTTGCTGAAGGAACAATTCTTAGAATCCCTTCAAGAGAGTCTAACTCTAGTTGTAATCAAAACTCTGATACCTCAATTAGACCTATGTGCTACGAGGTAAGTTGGGGTAACTACATGCCAAGAAAATAACTGAATACCATTATAAAAATTACTTTGTGGGGCGCCTGGGTGGCGCAGTCGGTTAAGCGTCCGACTTCAACCAGGTCACGATCTCGCGGTCTGGGAGTTCGAGCCCCGCGTCAGGCTCTGGGCTGATGGCTCAGAGCCTGGAGCCTGTTTCTGATTCTGTGTCTCCCTCTCTCTCTGCCCCTCCCCCATTCATGCTCTGTCTCTCTCTGTCCCAAAAATGAATAAACGTTGGAAAAAAAAAAAAATTTTTTTAAAAAAATTACTTTGTAATATATAAAAATGTAAGACTGCATTCCAGATACTTACTTCAAAATACAGTTTCAGATTTTAAAAATTAAGCATTGATAAGCTTGGCACATGTAAAATGAACCACCCAGCACAAATCTTCAGAACAGGTTTGTGTGCTGGGTGCCCTTTGGCAGTCTGGGGAGCCCACTGGACTTTTAGTTTTTTGTTTTTTTTTAAAGCATTGTGTTTTTGTTTTTAATTCATTTTGAGCGGGGGTGAGGGGCAGAGAGAGAGAATCTCAAGCAGGCTCCACACTGTCAGCATGGAGCCTGATGTGGGGCTCGAACCCAGGAACCAGGAGATCATGACCTGGGTTAAAATCAAGAGTTGGACACTTAGCCAACTGAGCCATCCAGGCACCCCTAGAATGTTTTTTTTAAAATACTGGGTGTCTCAGTTGGTTAAGTGTCTGACTTCAGCTCAGGTCATGATCTCACGGTCTGTGAGTTCAAACTCCGCATCGGGCTCTGTGCTGACAGCTCAGAGCCTGCAGCCTGCTTCAGGTTCTGTGTCTCCCTCTCTCTGCCCCTCCCCTGCTCACGTTCTGCCTCTCTTTCTCTCTCTCAAAAATAAATAAACATTAAAAAAATTTAAAAAATATATACATTTATAACACATGGGATTAGAAAGGAAACTAATTATAATGACTTCTGGTTATCAAAAATATTTTTGATATGTGGTGGAACAGTAAGAGATGCTGACTGAGACAACAAGGTCTAGGGGTGTTATCTTAACTTGAAATTTCAAAATCTTGGAGCGTACACAGTATTTTGAGATTCCTGGAACAACTAATGTGAAACGAAAACATCTGTGATTTCGACCGGGGACAAAGTCACAGGCAATGGGAATGGTATTATGATCTGTCACCTACACCATGGTAGGAAATTAAATTTCTGGTTAAACTTTAGTGAAAATAAAAATACAATTTTTTCCCATTCAGTTTCACATACCCCCGAAGTTTTAACTCTTACTATCCTGTATACAGTAAAACAACAAGTTGAATGCAGCTTGACTTTCTTGAATCCAAATATAAATTGAACTACACAGTCATATTTCTTTAATTAAATTAAAAGGAATCTGCTGGGACAACTCTTACCTGAATTATCTCTGGAGCTACTTGCAAGGAAGGCAGGTATTCTTGTTGAAGATACTGAACACATTCTGGGCCCTAAAAATTAAGATAATTAGAACTCAATTATTTTCTTGATATTAAAATAATGCATAAAAATGAATTAGAACAACACATGTATACTTCAAACACAATATGGCATTGTGATTAAGAACAGAGAGTCTGGAGTCAGACTGCTTTGGTTTGAAGTCCGACTCTGGCAAATTCCTAGTAACTTGAGGTTACCTAACCTCTCTGAACCTCAGTTTTCCCATATGAAAAATGGAAGTTATTGTGAGGAGTGGATGAGTTAAGAAATATAAAGCTTTTGAATAGTGCTTGGCAAAGTGCCTGGGGGGCTCGTGTCCAACTCTTGATTTAGGCTCAGGTCATGATGCCAGCGTTGTGGAATCAAGCCCTATGTTGGGCTCAGCACTAAGCGTGGGGCCTGCTTGAGATTCTCTCTCTCTCCCCTGCCCCTGTCCCGCTTGTGCTTTTCTAAAAAAAAAAAAAAAATCCCAAAATGTTAACAAATCTATGTGTAAGATGAAAATGAAGGGGCATGGAGTACAAAGCTTACCCGTTTGAGATGAATTGTTTTCAATGTCACCGCACATTCAGACAAAGCCTATGAACAACAAGGTTGAGAATTTTAATACAGTCAATTTTTGGTTAGTGATCCCACTTGTCTTTTTATTTCCCTGGCCACTGCTCATTAACAATTACTTCCAAACAAGAGACAGAGGAAGGAAGGTGACCAGCATGTGGAGTAAGTGGGTTGGAGAGAAAAAGGGAAAAAATACAAAAATGCTGTCTTAATGCAGTAAATCAAATGACAAAAACTAGCTTTTACTAGGTTTTGGGGAAATGGTTAAAGGGCACTGCTTGAAATTAAGTATTTTGAAAGTAAGAGCTAGGGAAACTATTACTTGAGCAAGAGAAAGTTACTTTTAATGGTTAGGAAAATACCATTAAGAGCAAGGTTTAGAATGAAAGCAGTGGAAAAGTATAACTTAACCAAGCTTTAAAGAATGTTTATATAATGTATCCTTTCACAGTCCTTGAAAAAGGACTGTTAAAGTTGAAGGAGCTGGATTTTATATTCTAAACTTCAGTATCAGGATTCAGTAAGAACCCACAAAAGATCCAGAAGAGATCAACCTTTTAAAAGTGAATCCTAATTTGAAATTTAAAAAAAGGTGGGGGTGGGCCAATGAGACTAATATAGTCAATCTGGCATTAAGTAAACTGTGAATTAGAATACATGAGATGTACACAAGGTGAACAAAGATTCTGAGGTGCTTACCAATACTGTTTGTGCATCTGCCAGGTCAAAGGTCTGTTTTAAAGGTGCTAGGAAACATGCAGGGACAATGTGCTTATAAACAAAATCAGCAAATCCCACTGGTCCATCTTTACCTCCTGTCAAGAAAAGTCAAATGTTCATCTTGCATAAAAAGAAAGTCAACTATCATGAGGGGAAAATCAACTCCCAGCTCTCGTCCATGATATAGCTGGGGTTCCACTTCATCTCTAAGAGTCTTAGGAAACAAGCTGTGGAATGAAGTGTTTTGTTTTGCTTTAATCATCTTACCCCAGAGTTCTACCAACTTGGAGAGGATGATAAAACACGTTTTCTGGGCAATTGGATCTGGATATTCGACTGCTCCTTGGATAACAGTAACCAGAACTCGTTCTACATTTTCTGCACCTGAAGCAAAATAAAAACTTGAGTTTAATTTTTAAAAGACCTAGAAAAGCAACCTGAAGCTTTCACTTCATATAGCGTAACAAGACAAAAGCATTTACAGAATTGGTAAGATCCCTCAATTTTTATTAACTTGGCTAAATTTTAAGCATAAAACATTAAAAAGTAATTATTCTCTTGTTATCCTGACCTCTGGATTTCTTATATAGCAAAATTCTCTATGTTGATCCATACTGTCCCATTTATTTTTAATTTCAAGATGGCAAGCTGGCCAGTGAGACTCAATTGTCAGGTCAATGCTGGTAAGTTGCCACCATGCTATTTATACTACTAAAGAACCAATTAAAGAAAACTGCCCGAGGGGGCTCCTGGGTGGCTCAGTCAGTTAAGCATCTGACTCTCGGTTTCAGCTCAGGTCATGATCTCGCTGTTTTGGGGGTTTGAGCCCCGTGTCGGGGTCTGTGCTGACAGCGTGGAGCCTGCTTTGGATTCTCTCTTCCTCCTCTCTCTGCCCTCCCCCGCTCATACTGTCTGTCTCTCTCAAAATAAATAAACTTAAAAAAATAATTAAAACTACAAATATTAAAAAAAAAAAATACTGCCCTAGGAAAAAGGGAACCGAATACAAATTAATTTTAAGGTCCTCTGCATGAAATAGATTTTCACCTTGATGATAATAAATTGTCAACCCAGGTGCGAACATACAACCACCTTAGAAGTTTGGTATTCACTTCAATGAGCTCTTACTCCTACAGACGTGCAACTGCAACTGTGACAAGGCCTCGAGCAGACAGTATCAGCACGCCCACCTTGATTTGCTATGACTTCGCTCATCCCGCTGCCTGTGACTGTTTGCAGGAAAGCAAAGTAACTCCTTCGCAACATTTGCTTCTCTAAAGCAGCAGACTGGTCATTTTCTTCTGCTGGTCGGAGCAACACTTCAAAAATTGCATGAAGCAGAGGCATGAACATTTGCTGTAAAAAAGGAGATACCTGTATCTGAAGATAAAAAAAACTATTACTACTTCAGAAACGAGTAGGATAATTTATATGAAACAGAAAAAACATGTTTTACATAGTCTTTATCCAGAATTTAATATATTTACATAATTTTGTTAGCAAATACCAATGTCAAAACAAAAATCTACATTGAACATGTGCATTATTGAAATCTTCAAAATTGTTAGCTCATTACCTACAGCCCAAGATTCAGGTTAAAATAATAGGGACTCAGACGTATTTCACCATCAAGTATCGCCATGGAATATATTCAAATTTAAATTCTCAAGAAACGAATTCTATTTTGCTAAATTTTTAGCAGAATTTATATGATTGGGCTTTCAAGGCTTTACATGCTTTTTGGCAAACTCCTTAACATCTTCGTCTCAATTTCCTCATATATAAAATACAGTTATCTCTAGGGCTGTTAGGATTGAATGAATGTACAAAAAAAGGCTTAGAACAGATTTTGAACACAGAAAGCACCGTTAGTAAATTTTATTACGCGGCTTTTATTTGCCTTAAATCTCCTGTACAATAAAAGTGACTTTAGTACACTGAATTAATTTCAAACTCCGGCTTGGGTACCCAAGTTACAATCCTTTTCATTTACCCCTAGACCGTTAGTACTCAATGTCATTTTTATTTGCTCTTCTAAAAGAGCAGACTAATAGTTTCCTTTTGCAAAGAGCAGAAAAAATGTTTTTACTAAAACATTTATTAAGGATGTCCTATGTGTCAGGCAGTGTGCTAGACAGGGGTTGACAACAAGACCTATGGTCCATGCCCTCAAGTGACTTATATTTAAAGAAAAAATAAGCCAAGGGGCAAATGCCAAAATATGTCTAATTTGTAAGTCAGGTGATTCTCTGAGCTCTGAAGGTCTGTGGTACCTTAAACTTGGCTGTAATCTGGTTGATAAGAGGAATGAACTCCTGGAGGTCTTTTGCTTCACAATCTTTGAGCATGTGTTCTGAGGCAGACGGGATGAATGGAAGAACTTCTTCCTCTAGGCAAATAATCATTCGATGAAGGAAAGTCCGAACTCCACTTCTGAGAATATCCTTTTGTAAGGGGCAACTGAGTGCTGGCAAGAATGTCTGTAAACAGTCCAGATAAACTTCGGAACAGCCACATTGTTTCACAGTCTGCTTGTTGCTGAAAGCTTTGCTGGTTCGACTACATAAGCAAAATCAAGCAACTAGTTTTAGCTTTATTCTTTGGAAGTTTTATGGAGTAATTAAAAATAATGCACAATTGGGGCGCCTAGGTGGCTCAGTCGGTTGAGGGTCAACTTCAGCTCAGGGCATGATCTCGCAGTTTGTGGGTTCGAGCCCTGCATCAGGCTCTGTGCTGACAGCTCAGAGCCTGGACCCTGCTTTGGATTCTGTGTCTTCCTCTCTCTCTGCTCCTCCCCCACTCACGCTGTGCTTCTCTCAAAAATAAATATTATTTAAAAAAAACCCAAAACACAATAAATCACACAACTGACAGAACTAAGAAGCCAATTCTTTTTTTTTTTTTTTTTTTTT